TCTATCACTAGCACTGGTATCGTCAAGGGAACCAACCCCGACGCCGGTGTTGCCGCAGGTCTTCTGCGCACCATCGGGACGGAGAATCCGACATCCAAGTTTTTGTTTGTCGACGTGGACCCCGCTAGCGATATCCGAGACCCTAACCTTGCCAAGTCGATCATCGACCAAGAGTTCGCGCTCCAGGGCAAGTCTACCGGCGAGAGCGAAGACCACGAATTCGTGTGGCAGGATGGCTGCCTTTGGGTAAGCAGAGTGGCGCCAGACACCGCGCTCGGTGAGTTTTACGAGAAGCTAGAGATGTCGCCGAGTCGCGCCGAGATGCTGCCCTTTGGCCGCCACGGACCCGTCCGCGCCGCATTCGAGACTCCCGGTATCCTGACTTCTCTATACTTCAAGCCGTACGAGGAGATGTGGAAGCCTCTTCCTGAGGACTGGATCCAAGTCAAGGTTGCCGCCGTGGGCCTTAACTGGAAGGACCTTGCCATCTCGGCAGGTCGTTTCGACATGAACAACTTCTCTTCAGAATTCTCGGGAGTTGTTGACAAGGTAGGCGCTAATGTCGTCGATTTCCGCCCTGGCGACAAGGTCTACGGTATGGGTAAAGGTCACTTTGGCAACTTCGTGCGCACGCCAGCTCGGCACGTCCAGCGAATGCAGGCGGGAGACGACTTTGTTGAAGTAGCCACGATGCCTCTAGTCTACATGACTGCTATATACGCATTCGAGCACGCTACCCAGCTCAAGAAGAACGAGAAGGTTCTCATCCAGTCAGCTACCGGCGGTCTAGGTCTTTGCGCTATCCAGCTAGCCCGCTCCAAGGGAGCCGAGATTTTTGCTACGGCTGGTACCCCCGACAAGGCTCGCTACCTAACGGAGAAGGCAGGAATCCCCGCGTCGCACATATTCTCTTCGCGCGACCCTAAGGATATTCCCAGACTCATCGAAGCCAGCGGTGGTAAGGGATTCGACGTAATCCTCGGCACTTCAACTGGAGACATGCTACACGAGTCGCTCAAGCTTGTCGCACCCCTAGGAAGGTATGTAGACGTGGGACGTGTCGATGTGCAGAACTCGATGACCATGGCTTTGGAGCTTTTCCAGAAGAGTGCCACCTTCTCGTCTTTCGACTTGGGTGTTGTGATGGATGCCAGCGCTGAGAAGGCCCGTCTACTGATGGAATCCGTTGACAAGCACTACCGCGCTGGACACATCGGACCTGTGAAGCCTGTCACATCCTCGGACGTGTCCCAGCTAGACCAAGTCCTCCTCGGTTTCTCCAAAGGTACCCATATCGGTAAGCTGGTTGTCACCTTCCAAAACCCTGACGCCCTTGTCAAGATGGTACCGCCTGTCCCTCGTGCCAAGTTCGATCCCGAGGCGCGATACATTATCACCGGTGGTCTCGGAGGTCTTGGAAGGAGCATCGTTCGATGGATGGTTGAGCGCGGTGCTTGCGACTTTGTCATCCTTTCTAGGAGCGGAACCCAGTCCAGCGAAGCCCAAGCTCTTGTCGCTCAACTAGACACTCGCGGTATCAAAGTGAGCTCGGTGCGATGCGACGTCAGCAAATCCGACGACGTCCGCCGCGTCTTCGTGAAATACTCTCAAGACAAGACTATCAAGGGTGTTGTGCACGCTGCCGTTTCCTACCAGGATTTGTCATTCGATAAGCTCAGCACGGAGCAGTGGACTTCAGGTCTCGCCGCCAAGGTTCACGGAACCCGCAACCTACACGAAGCTACCAAGTCGTTGCCTCTTGACTTCTTCGTCATGACCACCTCTCTGGAATCCGTCCTAGCTCTCGCTACCCAGAGCGCTTACACGGCTGCCAACAACTTCCAAGAGATGTTCGCACGACACCGCAGAAGCCAAGGTCTCCCCGCTTCTACTGCTTCTTTCGGTCTTATTACGGACGTGGGATTCCTCAGCACTAGCACTACTACTCTCAACCTGATGGCCCGTAACAAGGCTCTCGGTGTGACTGAACACGAGTTCCTGAAGTACCTCGAGATTGCCTTCCTCAACAATAAGATTGACGGAGAGGCCGAGTCTTGGAGTGGCATTCAAGAAGACCCTCTATCGGGCTCTACCATCATCACCTGCCTTGACCCCCGCGAGATGGCGGATAAGAGACTAGAGGAGATGGCTGCCAACAACGGCAACGTCGGCCCCACTCCCCGCTGGTACAGCGATGCGCGAGTGGCACAGGTGATGCGGGCATTCGAAGATGCCCAAAGACATCATGACGACGACGGCACACAAGGCAAGAACAAGGGTCACGGCAACTCGGCCACGGCAGAGCTCCGACAAAGCTTCGAAGAGGCTATCGCGAAGGGCCCCGAAGAGCGCAACAAGACTCAAGCCTTGGTCACGTCTGCCGTCGTAGCAACAGTTGCGCAAGTCTTATTTATCGACGTATCAGGAGTAGACGCAAACCGCACTGTCGCCGACTACGGTGTAGACAGCTTGATCGCAGCAGAGCTACGCAACTGGTTTAACACTGCTTTCGGGGCTGATATTAGCATGCTTGACCTGCTAGATACCAGGACAACTATGAAGGACTTGGCAGGAATGATTGTGGATGGCGCTCTACCTTAAAGAGGCTGAGATTGGAAATAACGAGAAATGTGTACGAAAGAATAAAGATTTTCTTATTGTTAGATTACCTAAGGTAACCTTGTTGGAATATGGGAGTTAAGGGTTACAATATGGGAAGGGTTTTATGGTAGATTTTTTTGTTGGATTTTCTATGATAGTCAATCAGTTCAAAGTTACCTATAAGTTCAATCTCATCGTTCGTCTATTGTGATATACATTTAAAGTGCATAAGTTAGGTACATAATGCGGGTAAGGGGTCCTAGAACGGTATAACTTTAGGATATTAGAGTATACCTATTATATTATACTATTATTAAACTCCAGGAAAGTATAAGAAAGTATATTAACAGAACTATACATACCACAGTTATTCCGTATATAGAATAATGTTAACGTTACTTCCAATTCTTCCCATAAAAATATACACTTACATTGGCCACGCATATAAGGATAATATCATGACTAAAATACCTAGTCATAATATTGGCGAGTATATGCAATTAAAAGCCCGCTTTTTGTGTTATACTTTTGCGAGGAGATAATGTCTGCAAACATACCTGCTAAGATATTGTATAATAGCCCCTGAGATATTGAGGCCCTTTGGCTGACTTAGAAGGAGTGTATACCTCACATAAGGTAATTGCTAACCTTCCCACATGTGTACGTAAACTTGTAATCTTGACGTCTCATAAGGTAGGTGCCAAACGACATCATACATGCATATAGTTAGTAAAACATGCGCAATGATGTAGGTTAGATGCTAACGTATAGGGAATCACGCGACGGCCTATCTAATGACTTCTATTGTAAGGAGGTAAGTGCCTCCTGCCACAGTGAGCAAGTGCCATACCTTACCTTAGGTAGGTACAAGGCACGCATGCGAGAAGTGTTGGCATTCGCGATGAATAGGCCATCACGAGGTGAAGCAGGAGCATTATTGACCGCCCCGGCAGTAGCAACTGACAACTGGAAGATTTATTGGAATCCTAACACAGGCAGACATTTTCATTTCTAACACACATTTTAATTATTTTCACTACACTAAATTATTTATAACTTAACACAGACAATTCATCATTTATCACTCTCTATCAGCGATCTCAACGAGCCGAGCCAAGCAAGCTTTTACTAGTCTAACAAACAGCTTAGTCGCAACACATACAAGCTGAGCAACGATATGTTCCTCTAACATTGTCTTCCGCCCCCGGTATTGCATCTCGCAGCATGTCAGAAAAGCACATGGGGATTTAAAACAAATCCTAATATGGAGGATGGCACCGTTTCTCGGAGCTCGTGCAGGGCTATTATGACGATTGTACCCAAGCAGATCGTGTTTAAGCATCAAGTTTGAGGAGGATCCGGCACGATTTATTCTCGGCCTGCGTCCTCGTCGACGCTTAATAACGCCGGCTGTACTGCGCCGACATATAACACATCATCCCTTATCGTGCGGCCGTCCTAGGCAAGACACAAAACTGCTTGATCGTCATCACTTCTAGTTTTCATCAAACCTTCTAATTTAATTATACTTCTACTTTTTCTCAATAACTTCGCCCGAGCCAAGACTCCGACTGTTAAGGCTAAGCCCTCAATACCTAAAAAGTCATTGATTGGATCCCCTGGCGTTCCATGGAACCGGTTGCTGGTGACGGTAACACCCCTGTTGAAGGCTTTATGTCTACATATGGTGGACCTGAACGATCATCACTTGCACATTCCTGGTCCGCATGGAGCTGATCAATACAGACGATGACAGCGACGAGAGCAACGCGGAAGAAATCGAAAGCGAAATTGATGCTACGAAGGAATCCATTAACGCCACCTTGAAGGAAATTCTAGACAACCAGATATTCTAGCAAGCCCTTGGAAGAATACAATCCTAACAACCAGCGAATCCGCCTTTTGGCACGAAATGCTTAAGCTGAACAAGAGGCCTAAGCACCACCACTAATACGGTGGAAAGTCCCTACCCGATGCTGTAGCTGACGAAGAAGTAGACAAGAACAACGAACACAAAGGCACACCCCCGGGCGCCGATAGCGATAACTACCAGCATGAACCCATCGTCATTCTAGACATGGAAATATAGACATGGGGAGTTTGCGCCTTCTTGATAGCATGCCAGAAAACCAAAACCCCCGACACAGAATAACCGAATCCTCGGATCTTCCTCCGAGTTCGTCCCAAACTACGAAATCTGCAAAGCATCCGATCGAAGTTGCGATATACAAGAACCCTGACAAGCTTCATGACGTTATCACAGCGTTTAAAGACATCTTTGAAGATAAAGGCCTTGCCTACGTCAACGACGATGAACTGCCGGTCATTAACTTTAGACCAGGCTGGGAGAAACTTATCCTGAAGAAATGCAAACACTATACCGTAAGCGTTTAACCAACGATAAGTGTAAACAAATCGTCGCGCGGAACGACACACCCAAACCTATAGTCATTCCCAGAAACACCCTTATGGGTCCTTAGAGAATCTCCTAGGTTAGATACTTCACAATACAACAATCATCATCCAGAATAGGAACCATGCTACAAAGATGCTGCCAGTTTTCGAGATCCCAGAGGAAGAAGCTATAGAAGCACTGCGAATATATGGTTCTGGAAAATGGGGTTTTGGCACCCTACCAACCCAAATCGAGTACCTGCTAGAGATCACCGCCTTGATATGGCTAGGAAGAACGGAACCCCGACATTTACCGGAGTTCAAGATAGACTACTATAAAGCCCTAGCAGAAGCCCAATCGTCTCTGAAGAAAACCAGACAACAAAACGCCAAGAAGGCCAGGGAAGCCAAGGCGAAGAAGACAGCATCGAGTCAGGATGAATTTAATAGGCAACTTGAGCAATTAAGGTCCAAGCCTAAAGAAGTTGTTGGTTAAGTTAAGAGCTGTGCGCAACGGGTTGAGGCTAGATCGAAGATGTGAGCTAAGTGTCGGGATTTTAGATGACATCTAGGACAAAGAACATATTCAGTTTCAGTATGTATAGCCACAGGCTCCCATGGTTAGATTAGAGTTCCTTGCGGAATAACGATGCTTACATAGGTACTGTTTAGTTCCACCTTGTGACACTAATGCCGAGGAAGTTAAGGATGAGATGATTGCCTTTTCTATCTAATGCACCTAGGGAATTCGACGTCTTAGCTAGAATTGACGACCCATTCGACCATCGGCACTATCTAGCTTGAAACGCTTCAGCGAAATGATGTTCTGCGCTCGTTCTAGCCTCCATCGCTTCCGCTTTTCTTCCTTGTGCTGAATTCTATCGCCTGCTATTCTCAGCTTAGACAGCTGCGCGGCAAGTATAGCCTCGCTACTACGCACGATTTCACCGCATCCGCTCCCTCCCCGTTGGGCAACCTCGAGACTAGGAGCCGAGGTCGTCCCCGGGCGTGGGGCAAATGAGTCCAGAGGGCGGTTTGGATGTCGGTCTGGCGTTTCTCGGTGAGCGGGTCGAGGCTTGGCTTGGGGATCTTGGTTGTCGGGATTCTTCCGATGCGAGATGAGCTTTCCCGACGGCAAGCGCACCGGCATGCTGCCGTCGCGTTGCGCCTGGTTGACCACGGCGTTTTCGGATTGTGGCATTTCGTAGAGTTCTTCGGTCTCTATGGATATGTCAAACCGGCAGTGGCCCTTAGCTACCATGTGTTGCTGGACGCCCTCGACCGTGCCCCGCCGCGTGCCGCAGCATATGCATTCTCGGTAGCCAGAGATGACAAAGTGTAGGTACTCGACGACAGTCTCGGGGTCGACGGCTAGGAATTCTTGGAACGGTATGTTGAAGCCGTGTGCAGCGGCCATGTGTGTCATGTTGTCGTCTAATATGTCGGACTCTTGCGCACAGAAGAGACAACTGCCAGGATCGAAATCCGGTGCCGATGGTTCCTCTTCTGGTTCATCTTCTATTTCGCCTTCCGTGTCGCTGGTGATTTCTTGGTCTTGGTCGCCATCAACATCAGGTTCATCTCTTCTTCGAGCGCGTGACGGCGCTGCGCTTTTCGTTTGGCCGGCGTCTATTGAAGGAGGGGGTGGCGGCGGGGATGTAACACTGCCGGGCTCTGCTGCTTTTAATCGAAGTTTGTAAACACTGCGATCGAAGCATTAGCTTAGTAGTTTTTAGGCACGGCGTGGGAACTGGCTTACTGCTCGTCGCTTTTGAGATGGGCTTTCCACGTTTGCTGGTCACTCAATTTTGCGGTACAGAGTCTACAGAAGGAAGGGGTTTTTGCAATAGTTAGGGACGGCTGATCTGGCACAGCGCTTGTGTTTGTTGTCGTTGTGCTCGTTGTTGTTGCGTCCACCATGCTGGCTATTAGCCCTCGTAGGTCGTGATTGAGTATCGTGATTAAGAGTATCGTTGTTAGCAAGATTATACAAATGTTCAAGTCAACTCTATCATAAGAGAGCGCGGTAGGTGATTAAATAAACAAATCAATTTACAGCCAGCCTTTTGGCATACTATTCTACATCTAGCCATAGCGAGGCGGGATTCGTATATGTTTCCGTATAAGCGCAGAATCTCCATTGTGCTGATGATATGATCAAGACAAAACGAAAAGTGACTCGAGAATGAACAACTATGAATCATATTTGGACCCACCGAGTATTCTTGGCTGACTAATATAACGCTATAAACAGTATCTCTTTATTAATAAGATGCTATTCCTTTGAATATTCTACTAACAATACTCTCCTCATGTTAAACTGCACATTTAATGTAGAGCATAGAGCGTATACAGTATACTAGTAGCATATACTATTGCCAGCTCCTATACTTTAACCAGTCTTTAGTATAGTAAGTTGTGTTTGGAATCAAGCAGTTTATAGCTTTGGTAGATTTGCTATGTATTCGATAATGGAGTGTCACATGCAACTTGCTTAGAACAGGGTAAAGTCTTCTGGGCTAATAAGAGTAAATGCGTATTCCATATACTATAGAGCTTTGGCGAATTCTTATGTCTAGTTAATAACCAAGCCATGAAGTATTCAATCTAACTAGCAACTATAGGTGAGTTCTTGGCATCGTAAGTCCCTTCTCAGCTAGATTATCTACTAAACTTGTAGATGTCTGTCTACGCAACAGCGATGCCCCCCATTTAAGATGTAGTCCTACTTGGGTGTTAGTACAAATTAAGACGATGAACCAAAGCCTCTTCCTACGAACTTCTAATTGTAGAGCATCAAGGCCAATTATTTAGACACTGCTCGGTTAAGTAGCTAACTATATAGGTACCTAGGTCCTAAGACTTCTCGATAGGTAATAGATCTCCCACATATATTCATTCTTTCACGGGTAACCCCTTATATGATCTCTTGAAATAACCTCTTAAATAGTCTTCCGAATTGTGCGTAATCTCTCGGACAATCTCCTTTCTCGTAGCATGCTATTAACACCACTCTTGCTAATCTATTTCTCTCTTCTTAATAGTGTCCCGGGTGAGTCCTAGGTAACCTTTCAGATAGTAGAACCTTGAATAGCCCCCCCCCTCCCCCCCTCCCCTTCCCTCCACACACACACACACACACACACAAAATGATAGTATAAAGACATGTCAAGCTAAGAAACACACCCTCTTAAGGGCGGGAAGTAATTTACCGAAAAACACTAAGAAACTAAGAAATAGTTACGTAATAAAATGGCTATATTACCACCCATCTAACTGACGATGAGCTTAGTTGAGACTAGGTAAGCACTATAATTCGAAGTGTGTAGAATCATAAGATCGGTGGCTTACATGCGGGGCCAGTATTGATCGCGCTCCCCTTCCATATCGCCAAGTACATACCTATATGAATATGAATTGGGGTAAAGCCTGACCTACTTGCTTACACCGCTGATTCAAGACATTATGGGTCGAGTAGTCAACAATCACCGACTCTAGTCGGAATATATTTCATTTGAGCGTGTAACACATGTTTATATCGGATACATCTTGTGGTTAGGCCCCTTCAGATTTCTCCTTTTCTCTCGTCAAGGACTGTAAATATGGCACACGAGAGTGAGATGTCTACCGAACAGCTCCCTTTACTCCCTGACGATGTTACAGCTCAGTGGCTGGGGTCTAAATTGGGACACAAGATCAAGTCAGTCTCGTTGACACGGACTAAATTTGGCACGGGCACCAAATTATTCTACTTCATCGAGTATGAAAATGAAGTAGCCGATCCAAGCTCACGGCCATCGCACATCTGTGTTAAGGGGGTGTTCGATCCTGTCATGGTTAAATCCCAGCCGTGGACTCTAAGTCTGGCGCAGCGCGAAGCTGATTTTTTCGCGAAGATTGCGCCGGATATCAAGCATATGGGGTATCCAAGGGGCTGGTGGGGAGGAAGAAGCGACCAGCAAGGTATCGCCATCATGTCAGATCTAGTGGATGAAGGGTGTACGTTTCCATCCGAGGCTGCGTCCTACCCTCTCGAGACGGTGCTTGAAGGTGTTTACCAGATAGCTGGATTGCATGCCCAGTTCTGGGGCAAGAGTCAGGAGGACTATCCTTGTGAGTGCAATGCCGAGCGCCTTCGAGGGCTCAGATTGACGCGTGAAATAACTGACGAATATCAAGGGATTGATAACGCTTACGATCCAGCCATGCTATATATTACGGAGACCTGGGACAGCGTCGTGCGAGAGCCTGGACGACCCAAGCTACCGGAGTATCTAATGGACGGCGCACGTGTTAGAAAAGCGCAGAAGAAGTACTATTCTCGGCGGAATCCCAAGTTCCGCACGCTACTCCACGGCGACACGCACATGGGAAATACCTATTTCACGGCTGATGGGCGCATACGCTTCTTGGACTGGTCGGCGTTTCATTTTGCCTCGTGCTTCCACGATCTTGTGTACTTTGTGTCAACTATGATGACTGTCGAGGATCGGCGGGCCCACGAGATGGAAATACTGGATTACTACCTGTCAACGCTACACAGCCTGGGTGGACCAAAGCTTGACAGGAATGACGAGGAGCTGATGATCGAGTACAAAAAGTCGTACTTGACGAATTTGATATGGCCCGTCTGCGGGTATATTTTACAACCTAAAACTACCGTGGACGCCTTTGCCGAGCGGACAATCGCCGCATGGGTGGACCATAGAGTTATTGAAGTTGTTGAAGCCGAGCCATAGAAGTAGTATAGGAATAATATTGGACCATTGGTAAATTAGCTTTACCAGATTCTATCTATAGCGAAAGCTGGGACCAAATGTCTCCTATTCCTAGTGACGAGCGACCCAAGTTAAATGTACAGGCCACTATCCGCCCTTTAGCTTAGCAGGTAGTTGATACAGCGTCGATGAAATAGAAGTCGGTTGAATACGGTGATATATGTTCAAGGCTTTTAATCTCAACCTTCGTAGATGAAAACGTACTTGCATATTGATAAGGGGTAACATCATACCTCTCGCATAGGGGTTAACAACCTAGGTTAGTATATTATAACAGGTAACCACACAGTCACTTAGTTAGCACAATAAAGACTTGAAATAGTTATAGTAGAAATACAACATTTCTTCCATTAATATGATAAATTAATTAATATCTCACTCAGATCATCTCCTGGCTCCACCTGTAGGTGCAGCCGTGGTGGTCGATGTACTACTGCCCCCATTGCCCTTCAAAACAACAGCCTGGACTACTTGCCCAGCAGCATTGAACACAATATTAACGAGGGCAGACAACGGGTCGTATTTGTACGTCTTCTGGATGAGGCCGCCGTCCAAAATTTCCTGCACGCCGGTATAGGTCATGTTCTGCTCGAAGTTGCCCACAATCGTACTTAATAATTTGCCAGCTGTGCCCTCCACCTCTTGCACGATATTTCCGAGATTGTCTACGAGGAAGTTTATCTTTGAGTCCCCGTTGACGATCGAGCCAAGCAGACCGTCGACTGCGCCGATCACAACATCGACGAGATCCGTTACTTCGTTGAGCACGTTGATGAGTAGCGGATTTAAATTTAGCGATTCCAACGTCCTGTTCACGATATCGGCTAGATTTCCTAGCCTGATTATCAATTCCAAGTTGGCGTCGACGTCGGCGATCGTGATGTTCACTTTGGTGATTCCGACTTGGATTCCTGCGTTGATTTCTACCAAGTTTGCTATTTGCGCAGCTAGGTTGATTTCTGCATTCAAGTTGTCCACGTCCAGCTCGATCCTGCCGACATGGAGCTCTGGGACATTCAAGTAAACATCCGGTGGCGTATTTCCATATGAAGGAACGCTCGTAGTGGTATCGCCACCACTGCTTCCGCCTGTTGCCGTTGCTGATGACGATGTCGTGCTGGAGTCAGCTCCTCCTGTGATGGTATCCGTAGGTGTTACCTGCGGTTGCGACGTAGTCCCTTCAGATACTGTTTCTGTCGGGCCTGCATCTGATGTTGAGGAAGCTGTCTGCGCTAGAGTGACCGAGAAGAGTGCTAATAGCATAAAGGCAATGGCCTTAGAAACGAATGACTTCATTTTGGAGAGCTAACTAGACGGCGATAAATTGAGAAGAGGCCTGGAGACGGCGGTCCTCTGTCTAGCGAAGGAAATAGTTGTTTAAAAAGCTTGATTCAAAGGACCGTACATCTCAACCAAGGAGAACCTACGACGAGGGAGGGCTGTCATTTTGAAATGGTAAAAATCTCATGAGTACCTAACATTACGGCATACACATGATAGCTAGGGCCGGCCTTCGTTCAGCTAACTTGAACAATCCCTGTCGATAGTCTAGATCGAGCAGATCGAATAATGGAGCTCGACAAATTTTTGGGGATAATTGCACGTCATAGAAACCGTTCTGGGATATTCTCCGTGTTATCCAGGGGCTATGTGGGTTTTCTAGTGGCTAGATTCCAGTCCGCCATGTTTCGTCGAATCGAAGCCCGAGAGTTGAGCTGTCATCGCATTGTGTTGCAATCTCTTAAAACTTGGAATAAAGCATGCAGACTAGAAAGGGGTATAACACTAGCGGTATTGATGATTGAATAGCCCCCATCCACTGCTTGACTTTATATGAGATCCGTGTGCCAGTAGCCCTCGGTGTTTAGAGAGCTTGTAGGATGCTGTCGCTTCGCCATACACTCACTCAACAGGAAATATGCGTAACTACTTGTTACTCCCGCTGCTCTGTAGCTCCTCGCTACTATATTTCTGCATAGCACAAGATGACGGCTATATCGGTTATGACCTCAGAAAGCGCGGTGACCCAGAGTCAGTCAATTACGAAACAGCAGATACGCCCGGCGTCGACCTCCCCCAGGAACCAGATGTATACCTCAATGCTTCCGTCTCTGTAGGCGAGATCTATATAGAGGTTGATAACATAACCGCCAAGATAAATCTCGACGCCAAAGTGTTAAATCTGCTACATTTTACAGCTGGCGTATCCGCTTCAATCGACAGAGTGGCTCTAAGGATCGAGAACGTGAGCGCGAAGGTAGAGCTGGAAGCTCGACTCGGCAATGTTGTTCAAATGATTGGGGATGTTCTGAACACGATCGATTTAAATCCCATCGTCGCGACGCTCGGGAAGAACGTAGGAAGCATCGTCGGAAACCTTACCGACTCGCTTGAGGAGAGCTCAACCTCGTCATCAAGTACGGCTGCCGCAACCAACTCCAAGCGAGACATACTCGATTATAACCTAGCCTACAATATTCTCTACTCTGTCAACGACTATTCCGGTCAGACACACACTAACCGTATTCTGGCACAGAACGGTAGCATCTATGATTCCCTACTCGACAACAACGGTGACGAGCACAGCCGCCAGGTAGTAGGCTACTACAGCAGAGATATGACATTTACTGGTCATAACCGAACCATCACTATTGATGGAAAAACGGAATACGAGCTGTCTTATGAATACAAACCCTTTCCGGGTCTGGACGCCGTCGCAAATATTTATGTGACGCCTGAGGGAAAGGTAGTGAAAACACAGGTTGTCGCTGAGGCACAAGGAGGAGGCACTAGTACGATTAGTGATGATGATGCCGACGAGGAGAAGGATGCTTGAACATTGTGTATATATAATTGTTAATTAAATACATGATTGCGGCTGAAGAAGACCTATTGACTGAAGAAGTTCCCATTATTGAAGTTGTTACGATTTACAACCGCTCGCTAGTTACAGAGTACCTCATATGTTAGGTACTTAGGTACATAATCTCTTTCCCCACAACCACATGCATTACTGGGTCTTTCTGATCGGGTATCTCCGATCGCGTCTCCGTTTTTTTCTTTTCTTTTTCATAAACAGCAAATCTCCGAGCTCAAGAACTTAAATCTTTAGCTTTGCGATACAATATTAACTTACATAGTACCGACCGTTAGCACAACCATACATACCTAACCTAAGCATTCTCTTTTCCCTGTGCACGAATAACTTGATTCTTCAATTCTGTCACCGGCAGCGTAGTATCAAGACCTAAATGCCTTGATTTACCCCTGTCCTTTTCCGACGTGTCGAAGTTTCGAAGCTTCTACGTAACTTGGCCGTGAAGACGCGATTATGACGTTTAAAAAGCAGATTACCCAGATCACACCACAGCACAAGATCTTCTCTATTCCCTATCTACCGGGTTTCAGAGCAAGCTTTATTACATACCTCCGAGTGATATCTATGCCTTCAATTATGGTGCGAGTTTCTATAATAAGACTAATGTAACAGGCCTAGCGGTCATGCCGTCAACCTATTGAATTAGGTAGTTATTAGAACCTAACGTCTTTCCATCTCATAAGCCGCAAGCATGAAAGCTCCAGCTCCCCTGTGGTCGTTTTCGACCAGGGGTATCGAGATGTAATACTTCGCCAGTCACGATCAGCATACATACATCAGTTTCATAGACATTGAGGTAGGTAAATAATATCAGAACTTACCTCGTAAGTTCCATTACTACCCAGGGAACCAACTTCTACGGTCCCTTCCCAATTTAGAGGACCCTTGTCATCTGTTTTCACGAACTTCTCTATAAGTCCATGGTACGCCTTGAGCGCAGGCTCGAGATACTCGCTCTCGTCAAGTAAGCCCAACCGGATACCCTTCAGCCAACCAAAGGTGAACATGGCCGAAGCGCTACTCTCGATGTAGTTCCCTGGTGCTCCCGGGTACGGCTCGCTCATGATGAGCCACCAGTTACTAGAAGCCTCATCCTGTGCTTTCTTCAGACCCGCCGCGAGCGTCGTGAAGTAGCGGGTGAGCCGTTTGCGGCCAGGATGGCGCGGTGGAAATAAAGGAATAACTTCAAGCAGACTCATAAAATACCAACCGACAGCTCTATTCCATACCAACGGCGCGGCACCCGTCACGGGGTCTGCCCATACTGCTTGCTTGCTCTCGTCGTACCCGTGAACCAAGAGATTCGATGTCCGATTCCGCGTGTGCGCATCGATATTATCGAATTGGCGCGCAATGTCGTCCCACGCAGTCTCGTTCTCCGCGTCAAACAAGCGCGTCCACTTCGCGTAGAAGCTGTCCGCCATGAAGATGCCGTCGAGCCACATCTGGTTGGGGTAGTTGGGCTGGCGATGCCAGAAACCGCCGGTAGCAGTCCGTGGGTGCCTGTTTAACTGTGCGCGGATGATGCCCGCGGCGTTCTTATATTTTGCGAGCCCCGTACGTTCGTACCACCATAGGATGTTGTTGCCAATCCGATAGTTATCTAAAGAATAGAATTCGCTTTTCCAGTCCTTGATTGTGCCGTTTTCTAGGACTACTGGGCCATCGATCTGCCCCCGATACCACTCTGCATACGTCTCGTTCTGAGTAAGCACATATGCCGCTTCGTATCCTGAATATAGAGTTGCTTCGCTATAGCCTTGGGTGGGTTTAACGCCGTGTTGGATAAACGAGTCTGCTGTCCACGCTAGATACGACGCCGAGGCCGTAGCCCCCGTAGCAAAAGCAAGGAATATAGACCTCATATTAACAGATCTCTACTGGAGATGTAGTGCTATATCACTTTATAAGAAGTAACATCCTTCCGGGCTTTTTTTATTTTCTAAACGATCAGGTTTTATGCCATGGAGAAATACCAAGACAACCATTTATCGACATAATTTCGTTTCGAACTATTAGGTAGCATTCACCGAATGGCCTATCGCCTACCCCAACTATGCAATTCCCACCTGTCGGCTCGCTATTTATGGAGATAACTAGCAACGTCTTGTGGATTAATATAACCTATAGGTGGGAAAATTAGTATTATTCGGAGCATCATTACGGTAATGACCTTTATCATTCTAAATATTCAACCCGGCGTCATGAGCACCTATGTGTCGTCAGATCACGGTGGTTTCCCATCCAAAATCAACAAAATCGCAAGTTTATAATTGATTCCAGAAAATAATTAAAAAACGGGGTCGCGACTTATGCTCGATATTCGACCGTAGTATATCGTGGCATCCTCTTCATCTAACCTAGGTAAGTACTCTTCTCATCATGTCTTAGCCACTTATAACTATACTAATGTATACTTTTTAGAGGGTAAGGATGATAGGAAGAGGGTTGAAGCTGGAAAACCGAGAAATATAAGTCTCATTATGAACTAAGCCATTGCCTAGTGAACGAAAGAACTGCCTGATCTTCGAGACCCTACCTATGTAGGTAGTTATACAACTGCCATGGGTGGCCTTCCCTAATTTCATAGTTCTTCACGCCTTGATAGTTGCGTAAAGAACCTTCGGCCCTTTACAAGCACTATCGAACCTTATATGAAGCTGGGTTTAGAAAAAGAGCCCGTTGAAAACGTATACCTTCGCTTATACTCTTACGGGACAACACGGCAAGGAGAGTCTATAGCGGCCATGATATCCAAAACCTCAGTCTATGGCCAATATCGATGTCTTCAAGCTTTATCGTTAAACTTGAGTATGAATTAGGTAACTAGCTATCTCAGAGGAGCAATGGAGAGATATGCGTATTGCATGTTCAGCTTAGGAACAAAGAAAAGGTGTCTACCTAACAACCATACAATCATTTTATGCCCGAGGGACATCCATAGGTTTGTTTAAACAATTCGGTTTCATTCAATAGGTATTGTAACACCTAGAGTTTTACAATAATAACACTATGACTGTAGTAACACAGTTGTCTCACAGGAGACGTGAACACACTCACTATAAGACTTCTCGGTTTGTCACGCACGTACCTATTCATCTATTATCACATGTAGTATCTCGATAATGCATGTCGGCAAGTTACGTGCCACTCTCCAGTAGCTAATTCTTCTTCACTGGTAAATATTTAAAGTTTCCACCGAGTTAATTGTTGATTCTACCTCCTCCTTTAAACCAAACACGACCGGCATCTTCTACGTGCATCTCGGGATTTCAGAGGAGAACCACATGCTCATAATATATCAATCTATATTTTAACTTCTCAGTTACTCTTCACATCACCATCAATAACCCATATCTACTAGCCCAACACAATGAGCGTCGCGGCCCTTACTCTCCGCCAACGCGGTTGGAGACTCCTTACCACTATTCTAGTAAGCCCACATCAACATCTAAGTCCTTCTATTAACACAGCTACTAACTGTCCCCGAGGCTCCCCGCGCGTATCAGCACAGATCTACCTCATGGGTCGCATGGGAGCAGCCCAACCCTGCTCTCTACACGCCACCCCATGCGGCCCCAAGCAGTGCGAGCCGGCAAGCAACCAGCAACTCCCAGGGCACACGCAATGTTAGAGAGGCCGGCACCATACCAGAAACCGCTACGATCGTGACGCGCAGCCAGGAAATATCCACATCAGGGAAAATACCCCCTCCGTCCATCCAAGCAAACGCCAGCCGTATCCCCTATTCCCACACGCGCTCTATCCAGACTCGATCCGACAACACGCCGCTGCTCCCCACTACCCTCCTACGAATCCCCGGCGTTGCCGCGACCTGGCCGGGCGAGGCGCCCAAACATCCGGACCAGCCGAGAGTTCGGAAGCATGCTAGGTAGGCAGTTTCGCCCACGAGAATGCGAGTCCTCGACGTGAAGGAGTTGCGCAATCGTAAACCCGGAATGTTTTAGAGCGTCTCGGCAGTGACGAGAAGTTGGGCTCAGGCTTCAGCGACGCATAGAGTATCGCGATGATGCGCTAGGGGGAATATAAGGGGGGAGGGGGAATGTTCACCCCCGAGTAGGCTTTTCGCATTACTCTCAGGTTGGATTCCTCGGAGGAGATACGATGGTTTCTTCCGGAATCTCGTTACATCGCGTACGTTCATTCACTTTATGATACCCCTCTGTTTTTATTTAGGGTAAAATAATGAGCGACGTTTTCTTTAGTGCAATGAACCATGAGCAAGTCAGGTACCTAAATATGTGAAGTGATGTGACAGGTATTTTCTATCTCGCATCTGTAAACTAAAAACACTAAGCTGTGGAAATCTCTGGGTGCGATTAAAATTAATGTGATCTGCATTGTAACAAACTACGGCCAAGGACTTTACGTTGCTGGTATTCACACTCGTCGCAATTGGAACCTACACTACCTGCTGTAAGCTCATCCGTCTCTTTACCTTCTAGCTTAGTCTCACACATACAACCTGACAGGTAAATCCACAATAAAACCCCCGAGCACAGAAATAACGTAGAGTAAACCAAATAGTTAGTCCTCTATTGGGTAAACGCCTACACGTCGAGATACAAACGCTCCGGTAGTCGTACAGAGTGGGCTCTAGAAAAGAAGGAGAAGATAGAAAAAAGCATAGCAATAAACCCTCATCCCTACAGCTCATACACCTAGTTCCTAGTTCTAAACCCGAGATTTAAAATACCCTCAAATACCAAACCAATTCCGATGAAGAAGAGTGCCTGCTAGACCCAGAGATGCGATGAGATAAATCTACGATTACTTCCGTATGGCGGGAGCGTAGCGAACGTACAAGCGATCGAGGAAGTGAGAATGTCTGATACCATTTGGTCGTTTGACCGCGAACTCTTCGATGGCCTGCTGGACTCCGTATCCGCAACGTTCGACGAGATAGCACACGACGAAGTAACCAGTGCGGTTGAATCCGTAGTGACAATGGACGCCGATAAAAGACTGCTCATCTGCCGCACGCTCCGCTTGCTCCACCCGGATCTGGTCCACCAATTTGATAAAACTGGCCACCTCCGTATCTGTTGGTGGGATTTTAGATACCGTCGGGAACTTGTGGTACTTGATCCCTTCTCCAAAACTTTTGGGGTCGTACACCGGATCTGCATGACTTATATCAATAATATCTTTAATTATGTCGCCCCTGAAGAGAGTTAATAAAAATCCATCCGTCGTAGTTTGCGACACATACCATTTAGCCGTGAAGACTTTAGGGGAATGCTCTTCGTCGACCTCGCGGAGTGTCTTCATCGCGCGAAAGACTCCTCCGATGGGCTTAGAAACGGGTTGGACGCTTTTCCACTTGGCAAGATTTTTAACGTCCCACTTGCCGTCGCGCGAGAGATGTTGTAGCTGCCACCCCCTATTCGTGATAAGTTAAGCAGATGAGAGAATTAGACTGATGTAAAGAGTAAACCTACAGCGAAAATCGACCGGTGATGTGATCATTCATAAAGTCGCCTATTAGCCCTGCTAAAGTGCGAACCGTGGTTGGCATGTAAAGCATAGCGTGTCCAGCTGGCAACAATGTGACTTTAATGATCTTGGCCGGGTGCTGGGGTTGTGGGGGAATACCGCCGATGGAGTCCTGGTCCCTAGGCGTGGTAGGGTCTTCATAATGCTCTTCTACGTTTGACGTTTGCTGCTGCTTCCGTTTAAAATCATCGTCGGTAATCGCCTCGATCGATTCCGGCATGTGTGCTTGTGGTGCCGATGTAGTGTTCACTGGGGCTGCGGCGTCCACAATTGCACCCACTTCGCTAGTGTTAGACATATCCTCAGGGGAACTACCTTCCGAGGTTGCCGATTCGAGAAGACTGCGAATCTTTTCTATTTCTGTAGGCGGCGTGACGGTATCATACTCGCCACCAATAAGATAGACCGGAATATTGAGGCCGGCCCAAGTGGGTTCGCCAAACATACCCCCGACGAATTTGCCGTCTTTAGAATATGTCGGCAATGCGCCCCACGCCATTCGACGGAACACCGGAGTCCGACTTCCATTATTAAACTTGTCTTGGAGCTGCCGGGCCTCGAGGTCTGCCCCGGGGCCGACAAAACGCTTAACGCTGGCGCTCTCGGGGCCGCCCCATCTATCCCAAGCCCGCCAGAGATTGAAGATGAAATCTGGAAGCGAAAGTAGCATGCGAATGTTACGCACTGCCCGCCGCGGTGGTGGCCCGGACACGGGGCATACTGCGATTAATCCCATCACATGGGAAGGAGGCCGTAAGTAGAACGCAGACTGCTTGTTAGCAATTCTTGCCGCAATCGCAGTCCCCATGCTATGGGCGATTAGGACAAGCCCTTGGTCCTTCTCCCGATAGCCATCGATGACGGTCTCGAGTAAGTCGGTCAGCGCATCTGTTGTATACGCATTCCACGATGTTGGGGCAAACTGGGATAGACCGCATCCGGGCAGATCAACAGCCAGGCAAGATGCGGAGTTGACGAGACTGGTGAGAAGGGGGTGAAATTGGGCGATGGAACCTCCAAGGCCGTGAATAAATACCAAGAGAGGTAACGAAGCTGGATGCCGGGGAAGCTCATCCGCTTTAGGATGGCGTCGATAGAAGACACGAATGCCGGGGTAAGTTATACCACTCCGGTGTGCAGTATATGAGACTACCTTGGAGTGATTCCGGAGCAGCGGGGGGTCTGTGGCGTTCGCATCTTTCGACTCGGCCCCGTTGGCCCGGGTCTTAGCCATTCGATTTCGTAGATACAGAAACCATGCACTCCCCACTAAGATGATAATGAGGCCGGGGGCGTTTCGCCCGTCTCCGACGAAAGCGTAGGCTGCGTTGGAATAAGCCATTGGGAACAATTCAATCCTGCGATAATGAAAATGTACGAGATGAAGCAATTATTAACGAAAGACACGATGCGCCCAGAGTGGCAATAGCAGTGGACCTTGACCGAGTCGCGCACCATTTTAGGGAGATGTAAGGAGATCAATTGAATACGCGAATGTGACTTACCACTGAAAAGTTCTTGCGGTCAAAATAATGAGCACGGTAATGGGAACCCACGAATTTAATGTGTATTGTAAATAACACCCGAAGGTCGAAGGTATCGTTGTAAGTGATGATCCGAGTTTATTAGTCCCTCCCTCTAAGAGAGACGAGATCGCATGCGACTCATGCAATATTCAGGTAATGTTCCCACGATAGATCGCAATATCGGCTCAAGATGATTCACACGTTGGGCTGCAACCAGCAAAGAAGATAATGAAAATGAGATAACGAGGCTGGCCCCCCTAGAGAAATATATATACGGTGGTACGATGCGAGACAAATAAAAAACAATGAATTGTCAGATAATTCGAGATCTAATAATAAGATATAACCCGTTTGGTTATAGTTGTACAGCATACATGTGAAGTGAGCGATTCAATGGAACATTGAATTGTCGACTGATACGGTACGGAATACCTTTGAAGCTAAGCTAAACTCTTAGCACCCGAGGAGCCAAGACCAATTATACACATCGCATATCGGGCGAGAGAGTCATACCTAACTCGATACCTATCCCCTTCAGCCACTGAATCGTCATAGCGCCTCAACGTGTTCCCCAAGAAGGCTGTCATTGGACTGTCACCATTAACCAATTAGAATCTTAAGAAATTGCTAGATCAGCCACAACATGCAAGGCTGGCCTAGGTTTGATTAAATGTCTAAGTCCGGGTTTGGCTTAGATGAGACATTAAGACGCTTAAGGCAACCTCAAAAGACGAAAAAGAGGCATTTGTGGATTAAATTTAAAAGCTGTGCTCTTCTAGAATATTAAATGACTCAAGCTTAAAATTTTTAGTGCTCCCCGACTCTTTCGCCAAGACGGCGACGAGCTATCCGTTTGAATCATCTTCACACAAAATCGTGGTACAATAACAAGATTCCATACGAGTTTTCTTAATATTCATATCCAGATAGGATCTGGTAGGTTATATACGATATTGGGTTTTTTTCTAAGTGTATCGATGAAATAACAGCGTTGACGATTTACTTAAACGTCCCTCCCAACTCGAGTCGTGCTAACGCGTATATCCGAGTCGTATTTGAATTTTCGTATAATATACATGCCCCATATGTAGTACAATATAGTACATTTTTGCCTCAACCTCCTGCCTATGTTAGGTAGTTTTGTTAGTTAGACTATCATATTTGCGTGTCCATAGGCTTAGACGCAGACAATGCTATAGCCTAGGATGAGACTAAAGCAACGGCCCAACCCATATCTATCAACCGAATAAGACCATCATATAAAGTGATGATACTGTAAAACGCATAATTCTTTATGCTCTTACCTCCATATCCAAGTGAACCGTACGGGCGTGACAGTTATAACGAACGACCATATGCATCGCTCAAGCAGCGCCCACGCCCTCCCTCCAGCCAATGGGTATCAGCGCAGCCGCGATATCGTTGACTCCCCTCTCCGTAGCCAGCAAGTTGTACTGCGCAGCCGCATTCCGCGTGTCCAAAATCTCTACCCTCATACCTAAGCTGCTAATATGCCTCCTCAGTTCCGGACTTATGGGGCGGATATCCGGACCGAGGCCCAGTATTAATAAATCTACGGGCTACTAGTTAGCAACAAGCTCACCGATATATAACTTAGATACCTATATTTCCCTCGCCTCTTACCTGGTCGGGGCCACAGCAGTCCAAACAATCCGAAGGTTTCATTCGGCACCTCCCACTGCCCCTTCTTATTCAGCAGTCGTTTCTCGCCGCGAGGAGCCCACGGGCGCCATTTGAAGGCTTCACCGTTAATTAAGAGGACGCCGGAGCCGTCGGAAACTCCTGCGCCGCTGTTGAGGCGGAAGCCGTTCGACATGCACACGTCTACGGAAGTGGCGGGCACGGGCGTATTGCCCAGCACATCTAGGGATGAGAGGTCGGCACGGGACGGCTCCTCGTCTGCACGGCGCGATGCGGTAGTGTGGAACTGCGATGCTGCATACGGGAAAACTCTGCAGTCGGCTGCAGTGCGGAGGGTATTATTTGCTGCGGGTAGTGGCCAGCGGCTTTGAAGGCCCGGCTGTCGTAAAATCGTGGTCAGTCGATTCAAAGGCCGACAAGCTCGTGTTGCAGAAGCCATGGCCGTAATTTATTTTGTTAGCTTCTAGTAGGAAATTCCATCGCGCTCTATTCCTTGAACAACTTGGAGTTTTCTCTCTTTCATTCGGAGGAACTGAAAGCTTGCGCAAAAAAGATGGTGGGTTGAACGTCATCATTTTGGAGAAAGCTCGTACAGTATATACACTTGTGGTTCACACTGTGCATTATCCTTACAAGTACATATCCTGTTGTGATTGTAGTTTTGGATAATTTTATATTAGATGTTTTTACAATTTTATACTAGTTAGGATATGTTATTGAATTGGAATGAAGGCATAAAGAAATAACTCTCAAATTTGATACAATATTATGTGGTGCATTTAAGAGCAGTGTTTAAAGAAATACTAGACTCATTAGATAGCGACGGTACCCTTTCGTATTTATTTCAAAGGAGACACTTATTATTCGTGCATAGGCTGTTTTGGGAAATCTAGAAATTTTCATTTACGTATTATTTACGTATTAGCTAAGCTCAGAGGTACATACGGTCTCGTAATAGAAACTACTAGTATGGAAACTATAGCGACAGGGCTCTTGTGCGTTGGAAATACTACGATTCGGGAAGGACGCTTGTGTTCTCCTTATTCGAAAATAAGGGGAGCGTATCAAAGCAATACGGACATGCCCTGAGAGTTGCGGCAACGCGGTCTAAGTTAGACTAGAAAATAGCCTATGTCTATTAAGTCGTGGTATTCGTATCACAGCATAGTGGATGTGAGAAATGAGATGAATAGTGGTAGTCCTGATGTCGTTTATACCATTCCGATCATCTAGATCATGAGAAGAAGCCCTAGAAGCCCTAGAAACAGATACAGGCTATTCGGTAGCCGTTCGCATGATATGCAGCCCTGTCCCTCTGAACACCAAATCAAAGAAGGCCGAACCATTCCATCCCAGAGTCATTCGGTACTTTATTTCTTCTTGGAACCCTCGCTCTGCTCCTTCAGCACCTTCTTGACAATCTTTTGCTCCTCGATCAGGAAAGCGCGCACGATCCTGTCTCGCACACAGTTACCGCATCTTGAACCACCGTACGCTCGCTGGACGGTCTTCTTAGGGTGGGAGATCTGAGAGTATTCACGGGGTCGGAGGGCAGGAATCTGGTATAAGTAGTTAGTATTGGTTTGATAGGCTCGCACTTGTTTACATGGTGGTCCTGGTAGGTGATTTGTCCAACGTAAAATCTATGTTCTAAGTGGAAAAGAGTTGCGCAAATTCGATCCTGTGCTGGTAATACCGAATTGTTTCGGCCAGAGAGAAACACGATAGCTGTTGTTGCAGGAGTCGGTGTTGATTCGAATTTTCCTAGGCTCCCTTCTCGGTTTCCCCCCTAAGATAACCAAAAAATAACTGAATGTACTTACACCGGGGAGCTTGATACCACAGTCACCGCATTTCGGGGCGGTTCCTCGCTTCTTGATGTGAAGAGCTCGCAACTGACCACCGGGAGTCTTGACGACACGGGTCTTGTTGGAGGTGGTATTGTACCTTTAAGCGACATGTTAGCTTTACGCGTTCCTAGGAGTAGGAATTATTCGGATTTTATGAATATTTCAATCGAGTTGGGAGACGTACGGGTTGCGACGGCGGTAGGTGACTCGGTTGTTACCCATTTTGACTGATGTTGCTGGTAGAATGGTTTGACTTCTTCCTTTGCAACTTTTTTTGTGAGGGATGAATTTTGGTGTTTTTACGGAACAAATGTGTGGGATGGATCTTTAGCCCGCTTATTGATTAAACCAATGGAAATTGCGATGTGGGGTTTTTGATTTAGCCACAAGCACTAGCCTCTCCTACTCAAAACGCCACCTAGTTTTATCCACGTGACCGCCTGCCGATAAAGCTCATTATGTAATCATTCTAGTCTAACCCCCGGCTTGCCAAAGTCTGGGTGGGGACCAAAAAGTCAGGAAAAATTGCCCCTACATAGTTTAACCTTTGAGGAATTCCATCACTTTAACAACTTTAATCTTCTTTTCGCGTCGGTCAATCAGGGAGACGACGCGCCCGATTACGGCCTTAACTCTAATTTTCCATTTCAGGATTGCTAGGAGCCAACGCCTGTGTCTGGCTGTATTTGGTGTTCCTAGCATCCTCGCGCGACAGATCGCGCCGCGATAGCGACAGCATCTAAAAAAGTCGCGTAATTTCGATATTCATCAACTTGGAGATGTCGTCTTTCCAACCTCCTCCACCTCCTCCTGGATGGGGACCTCCTCCGCCGCCTCCTCCTCCACCAGGTCCTCCATCAGATTTTCTTCCTCCACCGCCTGGAGCTCCAGCTCCTCCCCCCCCTGGATACCGGCCTCCAACCGACCTGCAGACCGCGAAATTTGCGCAGAAGAAGAAGGAATGGCTTCGGAATCAGCGAAATCGCTTTGGAGAGAAGCGCAAGGGAGGCTTCGTGGAGACCCAGAAGGCTGATATGCCTCCTGAGCATCTACGTAAGATCGTGAAGGATATTGGTGACGTTTCTCAGAAAAAGTACACCAGCGACAAGCGAAGCTATCTCGGTGCGTTAAAATTCATGCCGCACGCAGTTATGAAGTTGCTAGAGAACATGCCTATGCCGTGGGAATCGGCAAGGGAAGTTAAGGTGTTGTACCACGTCAACGGATGCCTCACGCTCGTAAACGAGATTCCTCGAGTTATTCCTCCCGTATTCCACGCGCAATGGGCCACGATGTGGTTGACCATGAGAAAGGAGAAGAGTGATCGACGACTATTCAAGAGGATGAGATTCCCGCCGTTTGATGACGAAGAACCTCCGCTGTCTTGGTCGGAGAACATTGAGGACGTGGAACCATTAGAACCCATTCAGATGGAGCTCGACGAGGAAGAAGACGGTGCCGTCTATGAATGGTTTTATGACCATCGGCCCTTAGTTGATACCGAGCACGTCAATGGGCCGAGTTACAAACAGTGGAATCTCACATTACCGCAGATGGCAGCGCTTCACCGACTGAGTCGCCCGTTACTAAGTGAGATATTCGACCAGAACTATTTCTACCTCTTTGATTTGAAGAGTTTCCTTACTGCCAAAGCGTTAAATGTTGCACTACCCGGCGGTCCTCGGTTCGAACCGTTGTACAAGGATATCGATCCGAATGATGAGGACTTTGGGGAGTTCAATGCCATCGACAGAATTATTTTCCGCTTTCCCATCCGAACCGAGTACCGGGTCGCCTATCCTTACCTCTATAACTCTCTTCCTCGAAGCGTCCAGTTTAACTGGTACTCTCACCCCCAAATCGTGTATACTAAGTCTGAAGACCCTAATCTGCCCGCATTCCATTTCGATCCTATGATTAATCCTATCTCTTCCCGCTCGGTTGCGCCAAAGAACATTACTATTAGCCACGAGGACGAGATATTCGGCCCCGGGAACCTCGAAGAGCCCGAAGAGGACACATTCGAGTTGCCAGCTGGCGTTGAGCCTTTCTTAGCCGATGAGGATCTCTACACTGAAGATACATCATCTGCTATTGCCCTCTGGTGGGCTCCCTTCCCATTCGATCGTCGGTCCGGTCGTATGGTGCGTGCACAAGATGTCCCTCTTGTGAAGCAGTGGTACCTTGAGCACTGTCCTCCGAAGCAGCCCGTCAAGGTCCGAGTATCGTATCAGAAGCTCCTCAAGACGTACGTTCTCAATGAGCTTCACAAGAAGAAGCCGAAGGCGCTCAATCGCCAAAGTCTCCTGAAGAGCTTGAAGCAGACCAAGTTCTTCCAGCAGACGACGATTGACTGGGTTGAAGCTGGTCTTCAAGTTTGTCGGCAGGGATTTAACATGTTAAACCTCCTAATTCACCGAAAGAATCTTACATACCTCCATTTGGATTACAACTTTAATCTTAAGCCCGTGAAAACACTAACGACGAAGGAGCGAAAGAAGTCGCGATTCGGAAATGCTTTCCATTTAATGCGTGAAATATTACGCCTGACGAAGCTCATCGTCGACGCACAGGTACAATATCGGTTGGGTAACATTGATGCTTTCCAATTGGCGGATGGTATTCTCTACGCTTTCAACCATGTTGGCCAGCTGACTGGTATGTACCGTTACAAGTATAAGCTCATGCATCAGATCCGGTCGTGCAAAGATCTAAAGCATCTTATCTACTATCGGTTCAACAGCGGGCCCGTTGGTAAGGGCCCTGGATGTGGTTTCTGGGCGCCTGCCTGGCGTGTCTGGCTCTTCTTCATGAGAGGTATCATTCCTCTTCTTGAGCGATGGCTTGGAAACTTGCTATCGCGTCAATTCGAAGGACGCCACAGTAAGGGTGTAGCCAAGACCGTGACCAAGCAACGTGTTGAATCGCACTTCGACCTTGAGCTCCGAGCCTCCGTAATGGCCGATCTAATGGACATGATGCCCGAGGGTATCAAACAGAATAAAGTTAACACTGTTCTTCAACACTTATCCGAAGCCTGGAGGTGTTGGAAGAGTAACATTCCATGGAAAGTTCCCGGCTTACCTGCACCCATTGAAAACATCATTCTCCGCTACGTCAAGTCGAAGGCAGACTGGTGGATTTCTGTTGCTCATTACAATCGTGAGCGTATCCGGCGAGGTGCTACTGTTGATAAGACGGTCGCGAAGAAGAACGTAGGTCGCTTGACACGTCTCTGGCTTAAGGCCGAACAAGAGAGGCAGCATAATTACATGAAGGATGGACCTTATGTATCGTCTGAAGAAGCCGTGGCGATCTACACAACTACGGTGCACTGGCTTGAATCACGGAAGTTTACCCCAATTCCCTTCCCAAGTGTATCGTACAAGCACGATACGAAAATATTAATCCTTGCTCTCGAAAGGCTACGAGAGGCATACTCTGTGAAAGGTCGCCTCAACCAAAGCCAGCGGGAAGAGTTAGCTTTGATTGAGCAGGCTTATGACAGCCCGGGCACTACTCTAGAAAGGATTAAGCGGTTCCTACTTACGCAGCGAGCCTTCAAGGAAGTGCAAATTGATATGAACGATAATTACAGCACTATCAATCCTGTTTACGACATAGAACCGATAGAAAAGATCAGCGATGCCTACCTTGACCAGTATCTTTGGTACCAGGCCGATCAGCGACACCTCTTCCCCGCCTGGATCAAGCCTTCGGATTCTGAGGTGCCACCCTTACTGGTGTATAAGTGGGCCCAGGGCATCAACAACTTAGAAAAAGTTTGGGAGAGTGCGGATGGCGAATGCAATGTGATGATTGAAACTGAGCTCTCAAAGGTCTATGAGAAGATAGATCTGACCCTCCTTAACAGACTCCTAAGATTGATCATGGACCACAACCTGGCAGATTACATTAGCTCGAAGAACAACGTACAGCTAACTTACAAGGACATGAATCATGTTAACAGTTACGGTATGATACGCGGTCTTCAGTTCTCTGGTTTTGTCTTCCAGTACTACGGGCTTGTTCTTGACCTCTTGCTCCTTGGCTTGAACCGAGCTAGCGAAATTGCCGGCCCACCATCCGCCCCTAATGATTTCCTTCAGTTCCGTGACCGTGAGACGGAGACTAAGCATCCTATCCGCTTATATACAAGATATATCGACAAGATATGGGTCTTCCTGCGTTTTTCGGCGGAGGAGTCGCGAGATCTCATTCAACGGTTCCTGACGGAGCAGCCCGATCCAAATTTTGAAAACGTCATCGGTTACAAGAGCAAGAAATGCTGGCCGAGGGATTCCCGCATGCGGTTGATGAGGCACGACGTCAACCTTGGCCGAGCCGTCTTTTGGGATCTGAAGAACCGTCTCCCTCGGTCTGTTACTACGATTGAGTGGGACGATACCTTCGCTAGCGTCTATAGCCGTGATAATCCAAACTTGCTCTTCTCCATGTGTGGATTCGAGGTTCGTATTCTGCCGAAGATCAGGAATCAGAATGATGAGTTCCCTATCAAGGATAGCGTTTGGTCTCTCGTGGACAATACCACGAAGGAGAGGACGGCACACGCCTTCTTACAAGTTACGGAGGAAGACATTCAGAAATTCAACAACAGGATTCGTCAGATTCTTATGTCTTCGGGATCAACAACCTTCACTAAGATCGCCAATAAGTGGAACACAGCCCTCATTGCGCTCTTCACCTACTACCGTGAGGCTGCTGTATCGACGGTCAATCTGTTAGATACTATCGTTAAGTGTGAGACCAAAATCCAAACCCGAGTAAAGATAGGATTGAACTCGAAGATGCCGTCACGTTTTCCCCCGGCCGTTTTCTATACACCAAAGGAGCTGGGTGGTCTCGGAATGATATCTGGTTCGCACATTCTCATCCCAGCTAGCGACAAGCGCTATTCGCAACAGACGGATGTTGGTGTTAGCCACTTCAGAGCTGGTATGACGCATGACGAGGAGACACTCATTCCCAATATTTTTAGATATATCATCCCGTGGGAAGCTGAGTTTATCGATTCGCAGAGAGTTTGGACTGAATACTCTCAGAAGCGATTAGAGGCAAACCAGCAAAACAGACGTTTGACTTTAGAAGACTTGGAGGACAGCTGGGACCGTGGATTGCCTCGTATTAACACTCTGTTCCAAAAGGACAGAAGTACACTCAGTTTCGACAAGGGCTTCCGAACTAGAAGCGAATTCAAGATTTACCAGCTCATGAAGAGCAATCCCTTCTGGTGGACGAGCCAGCGCCACGACGGAAAGCTTTGGAACCTAAACGCATACCGTTCAGATGTCATCCAGGCCCTTGGCGGCGTTGAAACGATCCTTGAGCACACCTTGTTTAAAGCCACGGGCTTCCCTTCTTGGGAGGGTCTGTTCTGGGAGAAGGCCTGTCTTGCTAAAGGGACAAAGCTGCTACGATACGATCACACTCAAATCGCTGTCGAGGACGTCAAGGAGGGGGATCTGCTTCTAGGTCCCGACGGAACACCACGACGCGCTTTCAATATAGTTAATGGCAAGGATCGCCTCTATCGTATTAAGGTCGGAGGCCGTCAGGAAGATCTTGTTGTCACGCCAAACCATATTCTAGTCTTCTATAAGAAGGGTCTCACTAACGAGTATGGAGAATCTAATATTCAAGGACATAGACGAGTGTACAATTCTCACGAACACAAGAAATTCGGCCGTTACCATGCATCATTCCCAAAATCTACCGGTTCAGCAGCCAGGCACTACGAAACGGTCGAAATGACCGCCGCAGAGTTTGCAGCTCTAGAGCCAAAAGAGAGGAACCAATACAAGCTCTTTAGATCTTCTGGCTTCGAATTACCCGAAAAGGCCGTTCCAGTTGACCCGTATTTCCTTGGCCTCTGGCTTGGAGATAAAATACGTGCTAGCATCACAAAGCAGGCCAACTATGAAGCAGAGATTCGAGAATTCTTGGTTAGATTCGCAGTTGAGCTTGACCTTTATGAAAATTCCGACGCCGACCTAGACCTTCTAGATATAACTAGTGAGGAAGAGGAGATTAGCTCCGGAGAAGAAGATGGCTCTGAGGATCATAACCACCAGCATGTCATTCGTCTGCAGACTGGCCAGCGAGCGTATGGAAGTCTGCAACAAGAAGAAGCAGAGCAGTTAGCTAGTCGAATTGTTAACGGTACTACGGATACATCAAGCATCGATGCACTCCTCCAAGCCCTCGGCAAATTTGGCGTTAACCAAAGATGTATCCCTTCTCTATTTATGAGGAACTCACGATCCGTTCGTCTCGCTGTTCTTGCTGGCCTACTCGACACTAACGGCTGGTATATTTCTCCGGAGAACGTGTTTGGTTTCTGTCAAAACGGTCTCGGGCAGTCGGCTCAGTTTTGGGATACTGTTTCCCTTGCACGTTCGCTAGGGTTTAGTGTCTTGACCAAGAAGCAGCACTCTCAATTGTTTGCTGAGATATCCGGAGACCTGAGTGAAATTCCATGCCTCCTCTTGCGAAAGATAGGAGCTACACAGTTCATCCCTCAAACCCATAGTTTTGCTGTCAAGGACATCGCTCTTGAGACGGAAGCTACCGAATGGGCAGGTTTCCGGGTCGACAAAGATCAGCTCTATTTGCGACATGACTATCTTGTGCTCCACAACAGTGGTTTTGAAGAATCCATGAAATTCAAGAAGTTAACCAACGCTCAAAGATCCGGTCTAAACCAGATTCCCAACCGTCGATTTACGCTTTGGTGGTCGCCTACCATCAACCGGGCAAACGTTTATGTTGGTTTCCAAGTCCAACTTGATCTCACAGGTATCTTCTTACACGGTAAGATTCCTACTCTGAAAATTTCCCTCATTCAGATTTTCCGTGCCCACTTGTGGCAGAAGATTCACGAGTCCGTCGTCATGGATTTCTGCCAAGTGTTCGACCAGGAGCTAGAGTCCCTTGGAATCGAGACGGTCCAGAAAGAAACCATTCATCCTCGAAAGTCGTACAAGATGAATAGCTCCTGCGCAGATATCCTACTTTTCGCTAGCAATAAATGGAACGTAACTCGCCCATCTCTTCTGCACGACACCAAGGACATAATCGAGCCTACTACAACTAACAAATTCTGGCTTGATATCCAGCTTCGGTATGGTGACTATGATTCTCACGATATTGAGCGCTATACTCGCGCGAAGTATTTGGATTACACTCAGGACAGCATGAGTATCTACCCATCAGCAACGGGTCTAATGATTGGTATCGATCTTGCTTATAACCTTTACTCCGCCTACGGACAATATTTCCCAGGTCTAAAGGTCCTGGTACAACAGGCTATGGCTAAAATCATGAAAGCCAACCCGGCACTCTACGTTCTCCGTGAACGTATCAGGAAGGGTCTCCAACTCTACGCTTCGGAGAGCAACCAAGAGTTCCTCAACTCTCAGAACTACTCCGAATTGTTCAGTAATCAGACGAAGCTCTTCATCGACGATACCAACGTGTACCGAGTTACTATCCACAAGACCTTCGAAGGTAACTTGACCACGAAGCCAATCAACGGAGCAATTTTCATCTTCAATCCCCGAACTGGCCAATTGTTCCTGAAGATCATTCATACTAGCGTCTGGGCTGGACAAAAGCGTCTCGGTCAACTAGCCAAGTGGAAGACGGCTGAAGAAGTTGCAGCTCTCATCCGATCGCTACCAGTTGAAGAACAGCCGAAGGAGCTCATCGTTACTCGTAAAGGCCTACTAGATCCTCTAGAGGTTCACTTGTTAGATTTCCCGAACATCTCTATTCGAGCGTCAGAACTGCAGTTACCCTTCCAGGCGGCAATGAAAGTCGAGAAATTAGGCGATATGATTCTTCGTGCTACGGAACCTCAGATGGTTTTGTTCAACCTCTACGATGAATGGCTTAAGAGCATCTCGTCATACACAGCGTTCTCTCGTCTTGTTCTCATCCTACGTGCACTTCACGTTAACCCGGACAAGACAAAACTCATTCTACGGCCCGACAAGACTGTTATAACTCAAGTGCATCATATTTGGCCCACATTGTCGGATGAAGACTGGATCAAGGTTGAAACACAGCTACGAGATTTGATTCTGCACGACTATGGAAAGAAGAACAATGTGAACGTCTCCAGCTTGACGAGTAGCGAAGTCCGAGACATCATCTTAGGTATGGAGATCTCTGCGCCATCGATGCAACGACAGCAGGCTGCGGAGATTGAGAAGCAGCAGCAGGAGCAGCAGCAAATTACTGCCGTTACCACGAAGACTCAAAACGTCCATGGCGAAGAGCTTATCGTTACCACCACTTCAAGATTTGAACAAGAGAAGTTTTCGTCCAAGACGGAATGGCGTACTAGAGCCATTGCTACCTCAAACCTGCGAACCCGAGCCAACAATATCTACGTCTCGTCTGTTGACAACGATTTGGACGACATTACTTACGTCATGCCTAACAATATCCTGAAGAAGTTTATTACTATTGCCGATCTTCGTGTACAAATTGCAGGGTACCTGTATGGTGTTTCTGCGCCTGATAATGACCAAGTCAAAGAGATTCGTTGTATTGTCATGGTTCCTCAAATAGGTAACCTGCGCTATACCCAAGCGCCTCACCAACTGCCGCAGCACGAATATCTCGCGAGTATGGAACCTCTCGGTGTGATCCACACTATGGCCGGGAACGAACTTCCGTATATGTCTGCGGTTGACGTCACGATGCACGCTCAGAACCTCGACCGGCATCAAAAGCGGGACAAGGAAAAGACGGTGACGATTGATGTATCCTTCACGCCCGGTTCCGTCTCTCTATCTGCTTGGGCGTTGACCCCCGCGGGATACCGATGGGGTGTCGAAAATAAAGATCTCGGCAGCGACTCGCCGGCAGGATTTACAACTTCTATGGGAGTCAAGCGTAAGCTTCTGCTCAGCCCGCGGTACAGAGGATTCTTCCTCGTGCCGGAGGACGGAAAGTGGAACTATAATTTTATGGGTAGTAACTTCATCGGCCTGGAGAAGAAACCGGTACACGTTAAGCTTGACACGCCGCTGCCGTTCTATAACGATCAGCACCGCCCTGAGCACTTCCACGATTTCACAGAGATGGAAGACCCAGGTGTTGACAGAAGCGACAACTTCGCTTAATTACCTTGGCTGTTTTGGGGGGGTGGCTATGGAGGGAAGAGCAAATCGCCATCTATGAATGGGAGATGATAATAGGAATAGGGATGAGATGAAATAATGCATTTCAATGGCATTTCTAAAACCGGCGATGTGATGGTGGGGTGCTTGCCAGTATTCTTCTATGGCGTTTAAGAAAAATGGATTGAATTACGAAGTTCAGGGATAAAGGCTCAGCTCTGACCTAAGAGAGCATTGATGTATTTTCCCATGTTGCTATTTCTATCTGCTTACTTCAAAGGCATTATGCCGGGTCGGTACGTACCTCATTGTAACATCAGCTATATGTTATTATATGTAGTACCTTATGTATACGAGAATGTGATAATACCCCCACAACCATGGACTCGGAACCGAAAGTGCGTGTGCGTGCGTGACTTTGCGATCACCATTATTCCGCATTGCAATATAATCTTGTTCTAAAGGAAGCTTGGGCCCTCTTTCCCCTCCCCAGAATCCTCGAGGGCTAAATGCTACCCAGGTTCGGCCCAGGTACCTATAAGGCATGTACCACGCCGAGCTCGTGCCCGCCCGTCAATTATCAAATGAGGCGGATGTGGAGATCAAGGCTGATAGCCTGCACGATTTTGACAGGCAACCCGCTCGAGCATCGATCTGGATTGCGCACCCGACTCTTGGGTGGAGTAGCGGAGTTTAGCGACTAAGTTGGTTAGGTATATCATGGACTTTTTCTTGATGGACGACGTTATTAGCTCAGGCCAAACCCGGATATGGAATGTAGATGCGGCGCAAAGTGGTTAAGAAAACGGCCGCAGGAAGTTGGTTACATAGAAGCCGTCCCTGGTCCGGTTGGTCGCATCCAGTCGTCTACTACCGTATGCAGGCACTTCGCATGAAAGCTAAGCTATCCTACCCCCAACTTTCGCGCTGATGAACGCAGCGGGGGGGCTCGGCGGCGAACAAGAGGGAAAAAAAAAAAAGAAAAAGAAAAACTGGAGGGTCTCGATCGCTGCCCAATCCCGTAGCGATGTGTACCTAAAATCCTACGAGCTGCTCGCTCACTTAAGCAAGATAGATAACCCCCCAGCCGTCCGTCATCCGTAATCGTCGAATCGATAAATCCTCCGCGCAGGGCGGACAGGGCAGGCCAAGTTCTCCGAGCCTGGCAACTAGCTCGTCGTCCTAGCGCGGGATGAGCATGCGCATGTACTTATACTATAGGACGGGTTAGTACCTAGTTAATAGTAGCTTGATAATCGGCGGGAGAGAAACGAGTGGGTGGGGGGTGATAAGTTGGGTGAGTCTACAAGGGGTGGGGTGGAGAGAGAGGGGGGGGGCTTTAGAACGAAATGCATAGGTAATTGGAGATCAGTAACTGATTGGGAGGGATTCACTCTCTTCTTGCCGCAATGGAGATGAAGAGTTGAGATGAGAGATGCCAGTTTAAGCAAGGAGCTTTGGACACGCGTAGTGCCGAAGTTATGGCGCGGCCGAAATGGGCATACTAAATGGAGCGAAGAGGGTATACGAAAGCAAATTGCTCTTCTTTATGCGTTCATGCGCTCATACCTAGACTCTCGTTCTCGTGTAGATCAGGTTAGATCCTCTTACGGATCCTCTTACGGATCTTATTAGGTTAGATATTTGATCTATTGCTAGCTTTGGCTAGTTAGTCGTTCTGGACTGGGGACAGTACGGAATACAATACATATCTAACCGGATCTCTGGGCGAGCGAGGGTCGTTCAACGGTGCGGAGATTTTCTAGCCAGGGCCATGTACTTCTGTATGTAGGATGTAGGTATGTACCTATGTATGTATGTATGTATGTATGTATGTATGTATGTACATAATGTACTTCATACCCGCTGTCCATGCGCAACAGTTAAGGTCTGTGATCCCCACAATGTACTTAATCTGTCAAGGAGTATTTCCCCAGTGCGATGTGCATTATCGACATGGTTATTCGGCACGCAACCACCTGGAGTGAGGCTGACCTGATGCTGAATAGGTACCTGACGCTGTACCTGACGCTGTACATATAACCATTAACGATTCAGGTAACACCCGGAGCTTCCCGGTTCTTACAGAAATGTATAGCACCAATAAAGTAAAGAGTTGTCAGTTTACTTTGGTTAAAACCTAAGGTCGAATTATTTTGGACGTAATATCAAAGCGATGCAACTTATCTGCACACTAAAATTTGTTGAGATATCCAGCGATGCTCCGTGTAATAGCGGCCAGTCCGATACAATCTCTCCTAACCACAGTTGATCTTTAGTTGTAAGTGCCGATAAACCAGCGGTATAGAGAAGTGGGTCTCTTGGTATAACACGGAGCTCCAATGTGAAAGTGGAGCTTGAAACGGTCCAAAACATGAAGGAGACGGAGACGGAGAGCACTGTATCCATTACGCACGTTACGCGTCTCAAAAATAGAAAACTACAACCTTAGAATCTCCGTAAAAAGAATTGAATCTTGATTACAGGCCACAGGCATTCCGTAAAAGGATTATTGTCTGATGACCAGCTACCCGGTTGTGAAGATCAGGAGACACGGATGTTAGTGGTAGCAACTTGCGAGCGTTAGAAGATACATAGAGCATTGATGAACAATGCCGACTTCCTCGCCGACTTCCTCACCGACATAGATGGACTCCTATCGGAGCTAAGCGCTTAGAGAAACGAATGCATCATCGTATCGTATCGCATCGCATCGCATCGCATCGCGCTACAGCATTGCGCTATGATAAGGAAGTGGAAGTGATGCATAAACCAAGACAAATGTCCTACATCTACATAACTCGTAAATACCTATCAATAAGCTGCATGAATATATCAATATATAAATATACTTCAACTTGAAGCTATCTCCAGCTACGCGATGCTACACGACAGACAAAAAAAGAGCTTTAAGTTGGCTGCATTGTCCCTTGCGTGCATGCAAAGCAGGACATGCTATGGGCCGCAGTGGTCCACCCAAGCGGTCGGATGCAGGGGCCTGAGGGGGGGAATAAGACATAATGGCAGGGTCCTTGAAATAGAATTCTTCTAGAAGAAAGGCCGAGGAGACCGTAATTGACAATGCGTCCTATAATTAACACGCCAATGCCTGCTCTTTATCCGAAAATGGAGATAATGCTCTATTTGTCTTCGCTTCTGTGTAATGCGTCGGTAGTTGTAGGAAAGGGACAGAGTTACATAGGTCTCAGGGGTAAATGTAAGTAAGGGGAAACTAAATTTTGTCCTATGTTAGGTTAGGTTGGGTTAGGTTAGGTGCCTGTTATTCGCTCAGAAACTACAGGTGCCTCCATCTCTATTCCATATGCCCTTTCCTATTCTCCAAAAGAACGGACAAGCAGACAAAAAAAGAAAGATTCAAAATGTTTGATATAACTAATAGTGCTGGGATCTTAATTATTTCCTTCCGTGCATGAAGCAAGGTATGGGTAGCTGGAGAGCTGGAGAGCTGGAGAGCTAGGTAAGGTAGGTACCTAGTGTACGGATTACATACTAAGGTATGTAGGTAGCTACCTACCTATACACTAGGGGGATTTCTAATAATAGCCCGGTTGAGCATAGTTCTGTACCTTACCCTCGGATTATGTACATGTCTAGGTTAGCTAAACTTTACTTTCCGTACCTGCCTATACGCAGATCGCTTGCAATTTCCGATCTTGCAGTTCTTTCTCTACGACGTCCTTGACATCATTTCACTTTAGCCGTGATTCCACTTTTGCTTCTATTCCTTAACTTTCACTTGCCAATTGTCGAACGCCAAACTTCCATCTATGCGCTTCTCGTTCGACGTCGCAATTCCACACGGACTTACCTAGTACCAGACGGGGCGGCTCAGACGTCTGAAACAACCCCTGATCACGCCCTAGAAGCAATTTCCATTCTTCTAGAAGCCAACGTGATGGTCAAATTGCATAACTGATCTTTTAATTGCTTGGAAGTATTGAAACGTGTTTCGTTCATGCGAGAGCTCCATCCCCGAAGCTCCTGTCCTTCTAGGTCCCTCAGCTCTACGTACACCGTTGTTCAAATGGCCTAGCCTAGGTAACCCAGCCTCGACGTCCCACCGCCTTATTGGACCTCCCACGTCAATCGCATTGAATCGCGCAATATTACGATGCCCTAGAACCGGGATCCAGAGAATTGGAACCACCTGCTCTCAATCTCTGGACCGTCCGCTAGCATTCGACGAGGTATCACTTCTAGATTAACGATACGATGACGACTTTTAGTCGCTTGACATGTACATACCTTAGTCGAGAGAGGCCTAGGTTAGCAAAGAGAGAATCGTGTCCAACAATGTCCCTGCTTAGCTATCCCGCCAAGTATCTCAAACCCCATCGCTCCCGCTTGGTGATCCAAGTATCATCGTCATAGCATCTCCCGAAACGTAAGTTTACTAATCTCTGTTGGCCGTTGTTGTTTCTGTTCCCATCTCCATCTATGACCCCCCTTTACCCCTACCTCTTACATATCCCTACACGTCCCAGCATAGCTCGACAAATCTGCTGACACACATAGAAACCACACGGAAACCAGGTTCCAGTGTGTCCCAGTGTGTCCCAGTATGTATACATGGGTGTCGCGACTTCGAGGTTTCTAGGTCGCCTGCTGCGCTGCCAGATTACCCTGGAAGCAGACCGTTAGTGGCTCTAGCCTCTAGTGTCATACCTATTTTCCCTTGTTTTTTGCTCGGCAATCTATCAAGCGCGTTCTGTGGTTACTTGCTACCTTACCAATTTCACTCGCCCTATGGCGTGTCAGGGATCAGAGCTCTCTTAATTCTTATTATAGCCCACCCCAGTTCCAATATATCCCCTCCAAGCGGACGAGGAAAAGAGTGACCCATTCCTTTCTAACTGCCCTAGCAGCCGGGCTTGGGCGCGCCACCTAATACACGTACATACACATACAGTACAATACATCCAGTCAACCGGCATTCTGACCCTCCGGGGATTGCCCACTGCCTTGGCTGCCCTGGATGAAAA